GGGGTGCTCTTGAGCTTGATGGTCCGTGGAGGATAAGCAGCTTGATGTTAAGTGCTGACGCCAATGTACAAACACGGTCGCTGCAAACCGGTGTTCCACTCTGTTTTGGTTTTGAGTGCTCCGGGAGTGCCGGGAGAACACAGCACCAGGCGGTTCTAGGGTAACCACCCGTCTTCCGGCTACTCACCTATTTTGTGCCTACACATCTTACAGCGATGCCACATGTACCAAAGCCACCGAACAACAATCACCCCATGCCATACACACCCGTTACACGCATTCGTACAATCAAGACACGCCCCGTATTCGGTGTGACCTTTTCGGCACATCGACAGCATAGCACCAAACGGAAATACATGAGAGCAGAGCACGCGGCAGGGTCCGGGGATGAGTCTCACTCTCACTCACCCAGACGTTGCACCGCTTCCGCCAGCCGACGTGGTTTTAGCGGAAGCAGTAGCAGGTCGCTGGCCGGGAGCGACAGGGTCTGGAGGAGACTCCGAAATCTGAACAAAATGAATTAACGGCCGCAAGGGCATAGAGGGGTAAACACACACAAACCACCACAATGAGACTAACGATAACGTTGGCGGAGTAACATAAGGACATGAGGACATGAGGACATCAGGTAGGCGTCTAGGGTAGAGGGACGACCCCGAAAAAATCGAGCTGTCTGCTTCAGTAAAGCTCTTGCTCTTTGACACGTTAGTTAGAGTATTTGTTAGAAAAGTAATAAACGCCTGGCTGCGTCATTAACATTTCGGGCTGCTGTTATTTTCCACAAGCTGTCATTTCGTCATTTCGAGTATTGTATCCCCAACAAACTTCTAAGGGCTTTTTTCTCCTTTCGTTTCATTAGAGTGAGAGGATGCATCAAGGGTCGGAAAAAGCAGTACGGGTATTCTGTCTCGCAAAACATTAGGTGAGCGGACGAAAAGCCCACTTTGAACGGACAACATTATACATATCTCCAATCCTACACAGCACAGCAACCGTGTGAAAAATACAACACAACACAACAATACAACAATACAACAGCACAACAACAGGTACACAAACAAGTGCCCTTTTCCTACCCCCGCCACGTGTTCACACCAGATTAACGCGGATGCACACCTGTTTGTTGAGCTGGTTGACTATTCTGGTACAGGGAACGCGAATGTCATCCCGAGGCTCGATGGCCTTGTCTGTCTTGGGCTGGAGCTTGAGGCGCAGCAACTTCCGCTCCTTCAGGGACACCGGGAAGGTCTGTCGATACAATCACCGGACGAAAGGGGGTACAACCGAAACAATCACCAGGCGTAAAAGGGGTACAGTACAGTACAAATCACGACAAGACGAAGGAGGGTACAGTGGCAATAACCATGGGACGAAAAAGGATAACGCCGCAACAACCATGGGACGAAAAAGGGTACATTGGAAACAAGGAAACGCAAAACAAGAAAGGGTATGAATACAGCCAATACGTACATCGGGTATAGTCGAAACAAGACGAGCCAGAAAAGGGTACAGACACAACCCACACACGAGACAAAAACGCATAGAGCGTGCCGCGTTTGAGAGGTAGAATTAAACACGACACCATCAAGACCTTAATTGGTCTATCGTCGATCTGCGAGTTTCCTTGTTGGTGTGAGAAATGCATAGACTACAGCTACCGCTCCGTGCGAGTTGCGTACAGGGGCACAGCAGAATGTCAATCCACTTTTCGTTTTCGCGCCCACAAACGACTGTCTATCTATCTAACGACTATTACGATTGACGGGCTTGATAATATCTCCGCCGGTCATGAAGCAAGCTGCTGCAGCAGCGGCGGCGGCGAGATAAAACGAAGGTCATTGCACACACCTCGATGAGCTTGTTGTACATGATGAGCCCGCACTTGATGAGCAAAAACTCGTCGCTAGCCACTGCCGCCATTACCGCCTTCGTCACCTGCGAGTTTCACCATCACGATGCACGACATCACGATTCATGACGCGTGATGGATTACGCACCCACCACATCGGCTACACAACACAAACGATATTGATCTGACATTACATAGGCACGAAAAAAACTCCACGACACTATCATTAAGATATGCCGAGCGCGATTTGAACCATCGACATCAACATCGACAACAGGCCAGAAGCAAAAGAGTCATGATAGGGACGCCAAAAAATACGGAAGGCTAGTATCCCGCGGCCCACAGTTCCCCACTCACAGCAAAGACTTGAACACATGCCTTCGACTACTGTACTTTTTCGAATGGGCCACAGTTCCCCACTCACAGCGAAGACTTGAACACATGCCTTCGACTACTATACTTTTTCGAAGGGGTACAGTAGCCGTTCAGTGATTGTATGTAGTCTATACCTTCGAAACACTAGGCACATGCATAATCATACCGTACCTGCATACTCCATTCTCCAGAGATCTTGACGAAAGCGGCATGATTGACCTGAGGGGCCTTGCCTGCAACGAATCAGCGAGGGGGGTTCGGTGTGACGAGGCGAGGCAAGGTGGCGTAGGATAGGGCGACAATTCCTTTGATAACCAGCCAACAACCACTGCGGTCGTCTGGGTTCGACCCAAACAGAAACAGCGGCATCGTGCTGCTGTCTCTTGTCGCTCGGTATGTCGTCCGTCGCAATCGGAAAGAGTCGAAATGGCCTGTCAGCCGGCGCCACCGCGCTCACTTTCTTGTCATACAGCGGGGCACTCACTCTACGTTAGAAACCTTGAGCGACTGATCTTCGAACCACTGCCTCGTTGGTTCATGTGTGGATCTTACATTTTCATTTTGTTCAACACCTTACATCAGCGCTCACGGCTAAAAACATTTCTGCCGCGTGGGAGGTATTGCTCCAATTCGTGATGACGCAGAAGCGTTACAAAAGGGTTCCTCTCACCGAGGCCACCTCCCCATCCCTGTCTGAGTACAAAAAAGACAACAACACTCGCTCGATAGAGCAGTCTACAGCGCCAGATACAAACTGCATCTGCTGGAACGATTGAAACTAGACAACGAAAGCAGAGCACAACCACAAACTCGGCACCCACAGCTCATCAGTACCACCCTCCGTACCCCCTCAAACCTCAAAACCATCTAGGCGAACTTACCCTCGACAACGCTCTGGGACGCGTCGCCGAGGTTAAAGCCGTGTTTCGTGCCAGCCTCCATCTTGTAGATCGCTTCGTTCTTGGTTTTCCGCCATTCCCTACATGGAATTAACCATTTTACCGCGGGTTTGACGGGCGGGAGGGGGGGGGAGTACATGGGGAACATGGAGGGGCTCAAGGGAAAATTGGATGGCCCAAGAGGAGAGCGGGCGAGGACTTCTTTTGCGTCGAGTGACATACCGATTTTCCGCGAGATGCTTACCATGTCCCGTATACTCGTTTCTCCCGCCAAGGGCCGAACGCAATATGGAATGGAACGTATGGTGCACGTGTGGACTACGCCGGCAATTTTGCCGGAATATCCATACCATGGTGAAGAAACACAAGAATCCCACAGGGGTGGGAGAGAGCGGAAACTCTCTCACTTGCCACCGGGTCCTAAAGCACGCAAGTCCTCGATGTCCTCGATGTAGAATTCGGCGGTTGCGCACACTCAACTCTAGCTGCCCAAACATGGCTCCTATAATAGCAGCTCAGAGCAGTGGACCGTACAGCCTCTCCAAGCTTTGACAAATACCAACGGGCCTCCGTGAGACAAGCATTGTTAGTAATAATGATGATCAAGGGCCTTACAAGTGCCTTGTTTCCAATCCAGTGCGCATTTGTCAACGCCCGCGTGAAGAGGTTCCACTTGAGCGAGTCGTGTCGCAAGTGCGAAGCAAGTTTAGTCAGATCGAAAACGAGGACTGTTCAGTATTCTCACTTGACGTTCTCCAAGAGGTCCTTGAGGAAGAAGCCTAGCCCTGCCGCCTCGTACTGCGTCTTGCACAGCAGGGTGCTCGACAGCCCCTCGAACGACCGGGAGTAGAAGACCAGACTGTCATGTCATGTCATCGTTCGCCACCACGCCAAGACAAGAACAGAAATATGCTACACCGTGAGCTTAGGGTCCATATCAACATGAGCGAGATAGAGAAGGGCATAGTATGCAAGTGTGACCACGGATTGGGGCTCATACCTGGCATAAATGCTGTGAGCTCTGATTGCAAGTGATGAAAAAAAAAAATGGCCACACGACCAGCATGAGGCATACGCGCAAGGGACTTGAGCTAGCGGTGACACTGACAGTGACAGCCGGAGGAGTGAACCGCCGACTGCATGGAGGGGGGCCGGTGAATAGTAGTAGACGGGGTGTGTCTAGCGACACGCGATAGGCCGGACAACACAAAGGAGGCGGAAGCAAGTGCTAGACTGCTGTCTGTCCCACAAGACAACAAAGTATGTCTTCTTTACGGAACATTCCATATTATGTACTGTAGTGCGTGATCCACAAGTACAAGTTCTGGGAGCGGCATCAATCTTAATCTTCCCATCGTTTGGTTGGATGCAAGCGCGCATTTCTCGCCTGTGGTCGGTGCTGGTCAGTCATGTCGTGGTCGGCCAACAACCAAGGAGGCTGAAACAAACAGGGACACCCCGACGAAAGAAAAAAATGTGGGAGTGTACAGCAGCGCTTGACAACTTCATTTTCAGCGCTGCTGCACCTGCTGTGCACATAGACCGGCGGTTTACCACACTTCTCTTGTACCTGTTGAAGTTTGGGGCCTCGATGGCATGAAGGGTGTTGAAGAACTTGGAGCAGAAGTACGCCTCCTCTGGTCCCATTCCCATCCGCGGCGCCACCAAGTGCTTGAGCACCGCCTGCAGCAACAACAACAACAGCAACAGCAACAACAACAACAACAACAACAACAACAACAACAACAACAACAACAACAAACGGTTTGACCGTAGGTGGTGGAGTGACGTTCGATGATCAACGGTTCACATGACTGCCAATGGTCAACAACGATCGATCATCATGGTCACGTCGACAATGGCCTGAGAATACCTAGCCAAGCGATGTACACGTTGTGATGTTACCAGATAACACAACGGCTCTGGAAAAACTGGAAAATATCTGTATATTTTTTTCGCGTGATTTCTTGAAAACCCAAGCGTAAAATATTCTGCCAAAGACGAGCTGCGCCAAGAGGCAAGTTGCGAACCCCATCTCCGCCCTTCCTCACATCGATCGTCTCTGCGCCCGTCTCGTGCTTATCCTTAGCGGCGAAGAGGCTGGCCTTGATCTCCCTGAGCTTGTTCTTAACTCGCTTCACGTGCGCGCTTTGAGAACCCTTCTCCGTCTCTAGCTTTGCCGCCACCGCGGGACTCCTAGATGCATCACACCGCATCACATCACATTGCATCACATTGCATCACATCACAGTGCATCACATGCGACCAACCGGAAAGTTGACAAGGTTCAAAAACACCAAAAATAGAGTATAAACAGAGAAATACTACCCCTTCGTGATAACAAGGTTCACTAGACAAAAATCCAATCATAGAAGACCATCCGGTCGAGGAACTATCGCAACATGGAGGATATATGGGTTGAAGTGACACCGTGAGTGTTCAGAAAAATCTGCTGAATAATTGTTGCGCTCATTGCAAGAAGAAAACAAAAAGGCCTTGCTTCCTATTTTTGTATGGCAAAAAAAAAAAAAGATCAACGAAAACACAATTTTTGCTACACCCTCTCTCTCACGTCTTCCTGTCCAGCATGTAGCGAGACCTCTCGGCCTTGCTCATCGTTACGCCCTCCTCCTCCGCCTGCTGAAGCTTGCTGTCCGCCCTACGCTTGGCCTCGTTCATGTTCGTCACCACCTGGGCGTACTTCTTCGTGGGGATGTACACGTCGGGCCTGAAGCAAAAACACACCACACATCACACATCACCAACGGCGGGCGGGCGGAGGGGGAGGAAGACGGAAAAACAAAAAGGGGGACGGACGGAAAAACAAGACCCGACTGATTTAGAGTCATGCCACGGTACTGCCATAGGGGTGCACACAAGGTGATATCTCAGTCTAGAGTCTACAACGGACGCTGATACAAAAAACAACGTACGACACGATAAGTCCTCCGATGGGCAATCATTGGATAGGTGTATCGCCACAAGCGAAAATTGAAAATTCGCAAATCATTTTGGAAAATATCGGCTGGCCACTCGTCCGAAGAACGCCGAATGTGCCACTATGTAGCTAGCCCTACGTCTACCGTGGCGAGACTCTACAACAGCTCCGAGGAAACAAACGAATCACCGCTGCCTTGGTCACAGCGACAAAGCGCATCGTTCATCAAGTGTTGATCAGCTGCTCTTTCGGTGTGGGAAAAAGCCGCCGTGATCGAATCGCGGGTGGATGCCCTTGCTCACAGTGAGAGTGCCCAGAAGATGAGGATAAGCTTAGACGTCAGAGGACTACACTCCGGGACAATCGATAGCTCCGTGATGGATGCCTCCAGCTCCCCAATGAACCTCTTCGCTATCGCCTCATCCCGCTGCTCTCTCTCCGTCTGCAGCGAAGCAATATGCCATGTCACGTCATGTCATGTGCGTCAAGCAGCGGCGTGTGCAAGAGGGCATCATGTGCATCATGTCACGTGCTTGGGGGAGGGAGCGGCGTCTGCAGCGCGTCAAGTGCCAAGTAGCACATCACGAGAGCGTGGTGTACAGACGAATCTGGTGAAGCACCATGATCAACATCAACAGCAATTAATATGAAGACACCATGATCAACATCAACATCAACACTAAAATGAAGATACCATATCAACATCAACATCAACACTAAAAGGGTACATTAGAGTGCAGTACTACATGTATGTACCTTGGTGCCAGCCTTGGGGAACCAACACTTTATCAGGTTCTCGTTGATCACAGGACGCCAGATGTGGAATACCACCCTCGGCTCCAGCCCGTACGTCGTCAGCTGCAACGGTAACGGCAACAGCAGCAACAACAGCAACAGCAACAACAAGAACAAGGCCGGCCGAAACATCGCAACGAGTCCACGTGGTTGCAAGGGTTATCATGCCGCCGTAGGTTGCCATCTATTCTGCCTCTTCCAACTTGGTTCTGATCCATGCTTTCGGACACACGGTATCCATGATGCGGGCTACTACTCACGCGAACATGCAGCGTTGCCTGTGCTGCTGAAATCTGATATCTACGTCTCCCCCCTCGTGCTAGCAGAGACGTGGTCCTGATCCATGCCTCAGAACACACAAACTCCATCATGTAAGCTAATAGTCGTGCAACCATGCAGCCTTGTCTGTGACGCCGAAGGTTCCCATGTGCCTCGTTTCCCCCCTCGTTCTTACCAGAGTTTTTATGGCGGGACACTTCGATTTTATCCACGCCTTTGAACACACGAACTCCATGGCCTGCAGCAGCGTCGTGTGAGTCTCATCAGCACGATGACCCAGCACCTGTTGAGGTAGCACCAAACATCCACGAATGTACGCCAGAGATCAGCACAGCATGGGCCGAGACTGCGGCAATTATCGAGCGTTGCACTCGAATGGATAAACTCTACACCGTGAGACGGCCTCACCCACGTTAAAATTTCGACGAACATGATCGAAAAGACAGTAACTGCCCTCCCTGGACGCGCGCGCGCGCGGGGGGGGGGGGGGGCTGTCCCGCGCAACCGGGTCGATACGTGAATGTGCGATGCTAGCTCCTACTTCGGAAGTGTGCCTCGACACTTGTTACATTACATACCGAAAACGAACTCTACACAAAAAAAACACATGAGTAAAAGATACGGGGCATGTGATGCCGATGCTGCTGCCGCTGTACCCCCTGCCCAAGTCAGGGGAATGCCTTAAGAACGCCAAGCGCCGATGAGCGCCGAAATATACGAAATACCCTCAACCTCTCCACCATACGCACGACAGCGACATCGATCCTCACTCCGTCCTTGCAACGGCGTCGTAGATGTAGAGCCCATGCCAGCCGGAAAGGAAACATGATCGTGGGGCCAAAAAAGGGTACACAGCAAGGCCTACCGCGACAATGAGAGACTCGGGCCAAAAAAAGGTATCCATTCACGACAACCGCGACTAGACCAAAAAGAGGCTGGGAAGAAAGGCAAACGTCCACACAAGGTGCTCGAGATGTCAAACCAATGTGTTTCGTGAGTCCGTCGTGGCCCGACTGGACCGAACCTCCGCACGAAAAGACACCAACAATGGGGGAACTCGATTTGATACGAAAGCCGCCGGCTGACCTTGAGGTGAGGCTGCGGTTTGCCCCTCATCTGGTCGTCGAGAGATCCGCCTTCGTACAGCAGAGAGCCAGCCTGGAGGGCCGGGAGCACCAGCAACGGCAGCGACGCTCCCGCCTTCTCTGTCGCCTCCTGCGATCACGATCACGATGATGATCACGTGCACCAGACGATTCAGCCACGTTGTTGTTATTGTTGTTGTATCATTTCTACAATTCCGGCAGCGTCCTGCGAAGGGTCCGTCCCCGGACATCCCTACTCACAAATCACTGTGCTCCGGCTGGAAGGCTACGGGCCGAGAGCACATCTTTCGATAGAAAGGGTTAGCCATTAGACTACCCCATCACCGCTGACTGGCTGTATAGTCTCATGGAAAAGCCTTTCTAACAAGCGGCTTAACCTCGATACAATGTGTATGCAGGGATTACCTCCAACGGTAGCCGGGGAGTGCATGTTGCCGTTCGTGTGCACTGAGAGGGTGCGACAAGAAAAGACCCAACGCCAGCCCCATGACAGCAGCACGGTGTTTCCATCCGAGCCGCCAAGCATCGCAGCAACGCCCGCGTGATGGTGTTTTCGCGTAGAGTTCGGTATGTACTAGCTGTCGTCGATAGGACACCGGGGTAGTCTAGCGTGCAGGATGGTGCGTGGCCCACTCGATGGACGTCACAAAAAACGTCAATGTTGTCCCCGACAAACTAGTACAAGAGCTACGTGCGGTAAACGCGTGCTTCACATGCAGAACGCGCTTGGGTGGGATTGACGTGTACTACCTAGATAGCCCACCGTTTCACAGCGGCGAGGGATAGGGTTAGCACCTGGAGGATGACCTTGGCCCTCTTGATGGGCTTGACCGTAGAACCGAACGAAGCGTTTTCCTGCCTCAAGACGTCGCCGCCGCCCTTCCCGTCCACCTGAGCCTGCGTGATACTCCAGCCGTCCAACACCTGCACGCCTCCGGCCTTGTGCAACACCTCGCGGAGGACCTGATTGTTCGTGGGATCGTAAACAAGGCGACTGTGCCATTTAAGAACTCTTGTGGTGTGGGTGGTCTTCCACGTGTGTCTTGTCCCACCAACATGGTCGTCATCAATCCCACTCTCAAGCCTTCACACGTAACATCTCACGGAGGGCCTGAAGGGTTGCGGGACCCGTTAACAAGTTGATTGTATCGTTCACAAGCCTTGTGTCTTGTTGTGGGGGAGTTCTTCCATCAACATGCTCATCATCATCATCACCACCGCCAATGTCAACTCTCACTCTCACGCTGTCATACGGTACCTATCTCGCTTACGAGCTACGATACTACCGACGTCACCCAGCCACATACTGTACTCGCATGGCAAGTTGAAGCCACCGCGTGAAAGAAACGAGGAGAAGGAAAACTAGCGAGGTGCCGTGCATGACCCCGGCGGTTGGCGCGTCAAACGCTTCCCGAGCGGCGCGGCGCCACAACAGATGGGACGAAAATACGAAAATACGTTGGGTATCTCGACCTTCCTTTCTTCCTTCCTTGTACGGGGAAGGTGGACTTACAGTTCAGCCCAGATGGGGGGGGGGGGGGGGGGTCCCGCAGGCAGTTATGCGCCCTACA